ATATGAGAGGCAAAAAAGGACAAGTGCCTGGGAGCCCTGTCCTGAATTCCCAGCGGAGCTGATATTGTCACATGGGAGTCCATCGCTCTGTGCAGGACGGAGGCAGCGCTGCACAGCCGTGGTGACGGACCCAAATATGGCCAGTGTGAGTCAGTCAGTACCTCTCAGGCTTTGACCACAAGGCTAAGCAGCCAGCACTTCCCACAATGCCCCAGCACTCCTGGCACCTCCTCCCTAGGGGCTAGAAATGCTGACATACTGTACCCGTATGTTCCAGCCAGTCCGTCTGTGTGCATCTTTCAGTGCACCTGAGAGATGCCTTGCTGTTGTGGAGCATGTTCCCAGTGGAAGCCATGTTCATAGGATCTCACCTGCAGGCCACATGTTGAGCCCTGTGTAAACCCAAACTGCTCCGTGGGCCGCAAATAAATGGGCCACAGGCCACATGTGGCCTGTGGGCCATGTGTTGAGTAGCCCTGATTCAAGGAGTCCTGCAGAAAGGGATGTCGGGGTCATAGTGGACCAAAAGCTAAATATGAATCAAGAGTGTGACACTGTTGCAAAAAAAAGCAAACATGATTCTGAGATGCATTAACAGGAATTTGAGAGCAAGACACAAGAAGTCATTCTTCTGCTCTAGTCTCCACTGATTAGGCCTCAGTTGGAGTATTGTGTCCAGTTCTGGGCACCGCATTTCAAGAAAGATGTGGAGAAATTGGTGAAGGTCCAGAGAAGAGCAACAAAAATGATTTAAGATCTAGAAAACATGACCTATGAGGGAAGACTGAAAGAACTGAGTTTGTTTAGTTGGGGAAAGAGAAGACTGAGGTGTGTCTAGACAGTACCCTTCTGCTGGAATAACCTATGCAATTTGCGCTACACAAATTGCTTATTCCGAGTCTAGGTCAAAAGAGCTTATTTTGAAATGTGGCGCTCTGTAGACAAACGAGGTTTACAGGGACACCAGAATACTGTCCCCGCTATTTCGAGAAATAGCTGGAGCATTTAAAGATGCAGCATTGCTTTTTCAGGATACTTCCGGTATCCCAAAATAGTGCCGCAGTCTAGACGTACCTTGAGAGGACGATAGCAAGTGTTACAAGGAAGGGGAAGAAAAATTATTCTCTTTAACCTCTGATGATAGGAAAAGAAGCAATGGGCTTAAATCGTAGCAAGAAAAGTTTAGGTTGGACATTAGGATAAACTTCCTAACTGTCAGGGTGGTTAAACACTGGAATAAATTGCCTAGGAAGGGTTGTGGAATCTCCATCATTGGAGATCGTTAGTTAAACATGTAGGTTGCTTGGTCCTGCCGTGAGGGTAGGAGACTGGACGCTCGAGATTCCTTCCAGTTCTAGTATTCTATGATTTCATCTGTCTGCAGATTTGGGAAAATTGGAGAGCACTGTCTATCATTTGGAAGGTTTCCATTCTTCCCAATTTAAGGCCTGAGTCTCACTTACACTAAGTCTTTACAATTATTCCCTACAGAAACATGGTTAAGCATGGATCAAGCCACAAAAAAAGGTAGAAGACACACCTCTGTGCCTTCCCAATTTACCAAAGCTATGTCTACACCACGCTTAGGTCAGCATAGCTTATGTCGCTCATGGGTGCAAACAAACCGCCCCCTGAATGGCATAAGTACACTGCCTTAAGCACTGGTGTGGACAGAGCTATGCTGGCAAGAGAGCTTCTCATGCCAACACAGCTACTGCCTCTCATGGAGGTGGTTTTATTATGCTGATGGGAGAGCTCTTTCCTGTGGGCATAGTGTCTTCACCAGACATAGTGCAGTACTTTATTTGAAGAGAACTCCTAAGTTCCTAGATGACTGGTAAAGCTGTAGGTATCAGAAGAGTGTGATATGTTCAGCTTCTCATTGAGATCTTCAATTAATAGTTCATTTTAAGTTTTCTGAGGTGCCCAGATACCATAGTGATAGACAACCCCCCCCAATAATTTATTCAAAAACAGATGGTGTCACCAGGATCACCAAGTACTAATCAATCCAAGCCATGTGCCAAAGCTCAAACTAGATGGCCTATGTGGAGCGACTGCTTTATTTAAGATAATCTGTCACTTTATAAGTTGTTTAAATCTCATGACTAGGTGAGAAGAGCTTGGTCTTCATTTCTGGTTCTGCCATTGACTTTCTGTGTGATCTTGGGCAAGTCATTTATCCATCTGTCTCTCAGTTTATCCATCTGTAAAATGGGGATAAAAAGACTTTGTAAGGAAATTGTGGGGCTGAATTCACTGATATTTTTAAAAATCTTTGAGGAATAGAAAGTGTTATCACTGTGCTATTGCCTGTGAGTAGGCATCCTTTCAACACAAAGACAATATACAGAGGGGCTGCGTCTAGATTGGCATGATTTTCCGGAAATGCTTTTAACGGAAAAGTTTTCAGTTAAAAGCATTTTTGGAACAGAGCGTCTAGATTGGCACGGACGTTTTTCCGCAAAAGCCAATCTAGACGCGCTTTTCTGCAAAAAAGCCCCGATCGCCATTTTTTGCGGAAAACAAATCTGAGCTGTCTACACTGGCTCTTTTGTGCAAAAGCTTTGCACAAAAGGGACTTTTGCCTGAACAGGAGCAGAATAGTATTTCTGCAAGAAGCACTGATTTCTTACAGTAGGAAGTCAGTGCTTTTGCGGAAATTCAAGCGGCCAGTGTAGACAGCTAGCAAGTTTTTCCGGAAAAACGGTTGATTTTCTGGAAAAACTGGCCAGTCTAGACACAGCCAGTGTGAGTATTTTCACTTTCATTCCTATTGAAGAAAAACTAGTCCTTTCAGAGGAATAAAGTGTGTGGTGAGATTGGGCCCTTTAAAAAATGCTGTTGTTTGGGCTATCCACGTGTGAAATAAAAAACCTGAAAATATCTTTAAATGGTGAAACCCAACATTTTTTTTTAATGCTACGATCACTCAAAAATAGGTGACTGGGTTTCACAAAACTTTCCAGAACTAAATTGCCTTTGAGCTGAGAATATATATAAATTTTTTTAGCCCAAATGGTTATTTTGGGGAAAAGTTTATAAGTGCATGAATATAAGAGCTTAAGATACAAATGTTTTCACAACCATAATTATAACATCACACAACTGCTTTATGTAACATGACAGGGAATTATGATTTGCCCAGTGTACAAGGCTGCAAAGCGTTATGACCGCAGCCATTAACGCACAAATCTCTTGCAGTGTCCATGAGTGTATCCTTCTCCCAGGCAAAAAGAAACTAGTGTCAGATTTTTGTAGCTGTAGTTCAAATGCTCCTTAGTACATAGTTCCATCCTAGGAGGTATCTAAATTGATAGTGCTGATGAGTGCTGTGAGGAACAGATGAATCAGGAACATCCTTTCAGAGATGTTTTTATATATATTTGGAGGGAGAGAAGAGACAGCTTAGTGGTTTGAGCATTGGTTTGTTAAATCCATGGTTGTGAGTTCAATTCTTGAGGGAGCCATTTAGGGATCTGGGACAAATCTGTGAGGGATGGTACTTGGCCCTGCTATGAGGGTAGGCAACTGGACTCAATGACCTCTTGAGGTCCCTTCCAGCTCTATGAGATAGGTATATGTCTTCATTTATTATTATTTGAGTCACTAGTCAATTAGCCCATCATAAGACGGGATTTTCAGGTCTCCCCTCCACGTCCGTCTCTCGTTCCATCTCTCTCTCTCTTCTCTCATCCTCCTCCTCCTCCTCAGCTCTCCTCTGTCTCTCTCTGTCACTTCTCCTCCCCCTCCTTCCTCTCACTCAGGGGACCGTGGAGCCCAAATTGCTGTTTGGGCTCCTTACTCCCCGTGTTGCATGGGAGGGTGCGGAGCCCAAACGGCCGCTTGCGCCGTTTGCTCCCCTGCGGCGGCCCGGCTGATTGGCGCAGAAGTCAGCCGAGCGCCACAGTGGGAGGCGAAGGTGGGGGGGGGCGGGGCGGTGATGTTCACGGCCAGGGGGCAGGGCCTGGAGCCGCTGTCATGCCGCACGTCACCGCCCCGCCCCCCTTTGCCTCCCACCGTGGCACTCGGCTGACTTCTGCGCCGCTCAGCCAGAAGAGGCCCCGCACTCCCCATGCAGCACAGGCCGCCCAGAGAGAACAGTCAGCATTTCAGGCAACAGCGCCCCCCATAGGGACCAGCCAGCATTTCAGGCAACAGCACTGGGCTACTGTATATATGATGAGCCATATTTTCAGAATTGGACCCACTGGATACTTCAATAAAAACACCCTTTGTAGCAGCACAAATCTGGCACTAGGGGACAAGTCTCCATCTAAGTGATGGTGTACGCACAGGCAGATTCTTGCAAGCACTTTGTGTAAACTGTTAGCCCTTTGGTAGTGCTTTCTAGCTAAGGATCTCAACATGCTTTACAAATATGACCTCTGAGGCTCATCACTTCCCTGTGAGGGGGGTATATGGTGTTGTCACCATTTGACAGACAGGAAAACAAGCCCATAACCATTGAAGCCAACATTTTCAGAAGCACAAGAGCTCACACAGAAATTGAGCCTGATTCTCAGTGGCACTCAGGTAACTTTACAGCATTCTAACACTGCTGGATGGATGTAAATGTCACCTACTATTAAAAGAGGTCTTGGTGTAACTGAGAATCCAATTCTAGGAGAAGGATTGTGCACTCTTGGGAACGGTTCAAGCATGAGAGTTTGGCTCAGAGAAGGACATAGCGATAGCTACATTCCTGTTTAAATAGTTGGAATAGCAGGCTAGGTGATTATTATTATATATTATTTGTATTGGCATAGCACATAGAGCCCTACTTGGGAAGTTGAATGGGATAGTATCTCAATTCTTAGGAGCTGGGAGAACATGGAAATTGATGAGACATTCAGACTGATATAGACTGTCCTGTTCAGTTCTTGTTGGGAAAGGACATGAAAACCAATATGAACTGTGATTCATAATCTGCTTTGATTTGTAAGTTATAAAGGACACATTTACTTGAAAAGACCCACTGGGACAGGTTTGATTTATTGTGTTCTGAGCTCACAATTTATCATGTTAATTGGCCGACCAGGAAATCACCACAGCCATGCTCGGGCTTATGCTGAAACACCGAACGAAACCCATTTTTCTATGCAGACCAACTAGCAGTGAGTAATGAGGAGTCAGTAGGGCTGTGCCATAGGTCTCTGTACATGAATAGGGAGGCTGGGACTGTGTGACTGGCTAGCACAGTGGTTCCCAAACTTTTCGGCATCACATCCCCTTTTTGATTTTTGAGAAACCCTCATGCCTGGCTCCCCCCGCCCAAAAAATAGCAGCGAAACTTGTTGAGAAAGGGGGAAAAAAAAAGGAACTGACCAGGGACAAAAAACAAAAATAGCAGCACAACTTGGGGGGGGAATTAATGGGTGGGCTGGGTTGCTTCGTGCCCCCCCTGGAATTTCTTCACGCCCCCTATTTTGGGAACCCATGGTCTAGCTCATCCCTGACAGGTGTCTGTCTAACCCACTTTTCAATATCTCCGGTCATGGAGATGCCACAGCTTCCCCAGGGGGTGCGCACCCCAGTTTGGGAACCTATGTGCTAGCAGATGCATAGAAGAGCTTTTAAGGGATACATTGAGGATGGAGGAGCCTGAAGAGAGTTGCTTTTCCAACTGGAAAAGCCCAGAGAAGGCTACACTCCATGCTGGCATGAGGATAAGAGCCTCTGACGGTCCCTTAGTTCAGAGGCATGTAACTGTCTCTGTAATGTTAAGCAGAAATCAAGGGCTCAGTCTGTTTGCATTTGGCCTGTCAGCCTTGCAATGTTCCCGTGGGGGGAGTTCACAGCCCATGTGTTCTCTGCCTCTTCTGAGGGAAGGGAGCTCCCAGGTGGCTCTGGACTGCCTCCCGCTTACCATGTGCTGAGGTGGAGTCTATAAAACTAAACAATAAAATACTAGAGGCCACTGACCTACACAAGCTGCCAAACAAACCAGGATGGGCTGGAGGGAAGGGCAAGGGAAGGAGGGGGATGTTTTTGTCCCCATGCGTATTTACTCCACCTGTTAGCTGACCTTGTTTTTCTAAGCTGCCCCTTGGTTGTGGCCTTGGCGCAGCTGTGCTGACTTGCTGCCTTATTCTGCCTGAAACTGGTGCCACTCAATGCAAAGGCCCTCTGCATCCCTCATTCTTCTCTCTGGGAACCACATGGGTTTGTCTTGTCTCTTTAGCCAGAGAACATCTCACTGCTCTTTCCATGCACCTACTGTTCTTGTGACCCCCCCCCCCATCTTTTAATCCCCCTCCACTACCTCTTCTTCCATTGTTGTGAGTTTTAACAGCAGATAAAGAAAAACACTTATACTTAAAATGTGTTCATTAACCAAACTCTGTGTCTTCACCTTATGTGCTTCCAAACATCTCAGAGTCCCTCTGACCACAGGAAGTACTGCTAACAAAGAATCATGTGCTTCCATCTCATTAATCCCATTGGCTGCTTTTAGTAGCAATACCCTTTGCCACTATGTCCCTCAAGCACTGCTTTTGCTCACCCTTGGGAATGTTGCAGTGTTGGATATGAGCCCTTGATGGAATCCCCCGACACAAGGCATTGTGATGACTTTGTTCTCTTTTGGGGCAGGTGGATCACTCCAGATTATTATACAATAAACTCTCAGAACTGTTGCGCAGTTCTAGTTCCAGATTCGAACTAACTCTTTATGGTTTTGAAATGTTTAGAAAAGGTTTTGTATAATTCAGGATTCTGGCTGGAGAAGGAGGATTTGAGGGACAATGAAAATGTTTGTTCTTAAAGTATTGCTATCTGTTAACGGAAGCAGATGTTGATGGTAGTTTTTGAGTTCAGGCTGAGTGTTCAGAGCTGTACAAACACAGTAGGAGCAGGATTGGGCTCACAGATCTGATAACGTAGAGCAGGACCAAACTACACTTCTGTTCTAGCTTGTCATTTTGTGCCCCATATCGATAAGAGTTGACAAGGAATCTAGCACCCATCATTGTGCAAAGGGTTCACAAAACCCCTTTGGTGCGTATATTATGTGTGTTTGTTTATACAGTACCTTGCATGATGGGGCCCTGACCTTACTGAAATCTCTATGCAGTACTGCAATATAAATATTTAATAACCATAAAAAAGGATGTTCTAAGAAGGCATTCAGGATCTCCTGAGAGAGGCTGTTGTTGCATGAATTTCAGATTTAAGGGATTAAATTCATTCTTGAGATAACTCCATAGACCTTGGTAGAGTTACCCTAAGGATGGTTTGGCACCTGAAAGCACTCTGAAAAGTAAGTTAATGTTTAGAAACTTGAATAAATAGGATGTTTGGATTAATCTGCTCCAGAGTGTGTGTGTGTGTGTGTGTGTGTGTGTTCGAAGGTATCACACTCCACAGTGCTCTCAGCTTCTAGATCTGTTACCAATGATCTAGTTTCTTCAAGATTCCTTCTCCCCAAAATACTGTGCTTGAAAGATTTCCATTGTGCCCCTCAAGTTGCTGTCCACACCGAGGCAGAGGAATGGAGGGGGAGCAGGAGGAATTTATAGGAATGAGGAGAAATACCACAACATGGTTCAAGAACAAAGATCAAATTAGTAGTGCTGTAAAAAAAAATCTTTCTCCACAGTGATGTGCTAGCACCACATCTCCAAGCCTTCTAGCATTGGCGTGACAGAGAAAAGACTGGATACCACTGTGCAGAATCACATGTCCTTGTGACTTGGGAAACTGACATAAGAACTTTCATTTTCCCCAATTTGATACCAGATTTCACATCTCTGGTTCTGTTGACTACATTAAAAGAGCTTTGTTTCCACAGTGAATTTTCTTTCTAACCCTCCACATTCCTTCCATCCCACCCTAGACTTTTTGTTGCTCAGGCTGTTCTTATTTGTAATTTTCAGTTTGAGTTAGTGATACTTAGTTTCTCTATCTGAAAAATAGGAATATTCCTCCATTACCTTCCTAGGGTATTATGAAGCTTACTTACTGTTTGTTAAGCACTTGGAATCTTCCAGAAATGTTGCCCAGTATCCAAATAACATTACTGAAGCCCTCTGGAACTGGAACATTGCTTGGACTATAAAATCACATTGTCACATTTCTTGGAAACTGCTGAATGAGGGTAAAGGTCCCTGCAGCACTAGAAAGCACAAATTGGCTATTTCTACAGAAGCTGACAACTATGTACAGTGCAAAGATCTTGTAACCACGATGCTGCCTGAAAGTAAAACTTAAAGCCACAAAAACAAGAATAAACAGAAGTCTCATCCAGTTGTGAACAAACCCACTACATTCATCATCTGGCAGTGTGAAAGTAGGATGTGGGAGAGAGAATATATGGTTTATGTGGGACTTTCCATTCATTTTGTGAATGTTTTAGAAAAATCCCTACTGTCAGGTTGACACTACTCATTAAAGTCATACAGTCCTATTAAGATGTCTGTCTAAAATCTATTTAATCTAGGTCTGGTCAAACTATCATCCAGCCCACAGAAGCATATGCCCAAATAAAATGGTTAGTCTTTAAGGTGCTACAGGACTCCATATAGTTTTTGATGAAACAGACTAACATGGCTACCCACCTGAGACTAGAGAAAAGACTGGATAGTGCACTATGCATTCTTTGTTATGTATAGTGTGTGATCTATCACCTAGATTGCAAGGTATCATTTCTGTCCCATGCGTTGGATGACTAACTTTTTAAGAAGAACAGCAATCTAAAAAACTGACAAAAGTGAACAGAGGACACTCATCTTCAAATATGTTTAACACAAGAATATGAACAACATTCATTCTGTGAGACTCCCTTTGACCCAAACGGATTCGCAGAGATGTACATGAATAGCAAATAATAAGGTAGCAACCACGATTGCTTTGAATGGCCAATCAGAATTGGAGCATATGTTCACTGATATTTTCTTGTGGTATTCAACTAAGTCAATCTAATTAATTTAACCAATCTCTTAATTTCTAAGTCACCCATCATCATGGTATCAGATACCAATGCGGAGTGAGGATGAGATGTCTGTGGTGGATTTGGTTTTATTTATGTTGCTATCCCAAATGCTGTTGCAGCTCACGGTTATCTCAGAGTAGAATTCGCCATAACAGATTAGCACACTGGTCCAGCTCGTCTGACTTCCTGTTGACAGCCAGTACCAGATGCTTTAAAGAGAAGAATTAAGCTGCCATTGCTGGCAATATCTGAAAGCCATTAAATAAGAGATGTTTGGGGTGAAAAACAGACACACACCTTTTGGCGTGGGTTGTAGTTTTATCTGTTTACTCAGGTTTTTGCTGGATAGGGAAGGGTTTAATCCTAACTTGATATACAACAATTTTCATTTTGACTGTCTCATTTTAGGATCTGTGCAGATAGAATTTTGCAAGTATGCCTACAAGTGGGAGTTGAAAAAAAAAGCTCTGTAGAAGTGCTCTGGAGTTGGAGAGGCTTGGGGAGGGAGAGAGTGGGGAACATGCTACCTATTTTGTTTTCGGAAAGCAGATATGACTCTTATCCTGGGATAGTTCTCAGGTATCCTTTTTAATATGTCTGATCAGTTATACTGTGTTGCTTGGAGGCAGAAGGGCTATTTCTTCCTGATGCCCATACACCATTAACTGATATAAGGGATTACAAAGTGCCTCTCGTAGCTTGCATAACTCCAAATGTTGTTATTGGTCATAAAATTATTCTGTCCTCTGTTTACTGCCAGCTACAGTATTTGACTCCTGCTCCAGGACACAGACAGTTCCGCAGGCTGACTACATGCGGAGGGAAGTATTTATTTTTATTTGTTCTATTAACTTCATCTGGTGAGCTTTTGTTCTCCTGTTGTGGGACAAGTTAAAGAAGAGGAGATGGATCAGTTCTCACTAGAGCCTGCATAATAAATATCTCCTCCATTGCAGGCTAAAGGATTTTGAATTTTTTTTCTCAAATGGAAAATCTCTAAATGTGATGCAATCTACAAATCCTAAAGTTGGCAGTGAGCAGCCATTTGGGCACAAAACGCCTGTAGAATAAAGCCAAATGAAATGTACGTTAGAATTCTTGGCTAATACTATAATAGCCTACAGTAGTTCTTTGAGACACAAACTCATGCAGCAGCTGTGCGGTGCCCCAGAGCGTGCAGTGCGTATACCTGCAGGGGCCTCCCGGGCTGTAGCTGTTGAACTTTAGAGAGGGCACCTGCATTTCATTAGCCAGAAAAAAGAACCAAGGAGTACTGCCAAAAGTTCCTTTAATTAAAGAGCACATTCACTGTCCTTGCCTCCTTTTCCCCCTCTTTCATCTCCTGCTTCCTTTGCTCTGCCTTTAAGGCTGTTTCACATTCTGGTCCTCCAAGGATCCCTCTACTTCCCTCACCTACATCATCCATAGTGTTATCTTCCGTTTGCCAGTATCATCCAGGAGGCTTCTTGGTGACAAGAATGCAGGAACCTATGAGTATTTGCCTAAGTTTTGTAAATTCTGGTTTAGCAAAATGCCCATGAGGTGCCATTAGGAGACTCTCAGGAAAACATTCTGTCTTGTGGGATTTTGCAGAGAAGCGAATGATACCCTGCACTTGCCTGGCTCAGAAACAAACACGTAAATTTTAGTTTTGAAATTCAAAGCATCTTTCTCTTCTCAGTTCCTATACTATCCTCCTTGACTGAAGCTACCCTTAATGGCCCTTCATTCACACTAGAGGTTCAAATCTGAATGCAAAGCCTTTTCTTTTGTCCTGTTACAGAGGCTGGGTTCATGTACAAATCTGGATTTTTCCCAAGTGTAGGAACTTCTAGGCAGGGGATTTGGCTGTGTTTTGTTTATATTTCTTGACCTGTTCCCCTTTACAGTTGTTCCCAGTTTGTATAACTCTCCACCTTCACCCTTTCTACCTTGTTTTGGGAAATACCAGCCCCTCTCTCTTTCCTGTTCCCATTCCAGCCCTTTAAGGGCTTGCCCTGCATCTCATTCCTCTGCTGAAATGACCCGGTGAATCAACCTGTATCAGGCCCCTGCCTAAATCAGTCAGTTACTCTCTTTGTTCCGCCATTCCCTGTTATCAAATTTTGGGGATGAGTCTTCATTTCTGTTCTGATGATTTCTATAACAGACCCAATTCTCTGCATGATAGTCTCTAGAACAGTGTTTCTTAAACTTTGTTCCTGGGCACACCGGTATGCCGCGAGGCAGTTGGAGGTGTGCCGCGGAGAACAACAGAGTTCAAAATGGCTGCCCTTAAAGGGGCAGGCATTCTGTATCCTTGGTGTTCCTCATAAAAAAAAATTATTGTTTGGTGTTCCTCGGTCTTAAAAAGTTCAAGAAGCACTGGTCTAGAGATTTTGACCTAGATCTGAACTTCCCTAAAGTTTTGCTGTGTTCAGATCTAAGAATTTGGCTTAGGCCACTATAAAGATAGAGACCAACTACAAAGTTTGGATACTGGGCCAAATTTCCCCAAATCTGGGAGTTGTGTGCAGGCTACATTTGGAGTAGTTCTAGAGAAGGGGTCAGCTGCTAGGTGCAGATCTGAATTGAAACTTTCCCAAATTTGGCAAATGTTTCTAAAATCAAAACCCCTGATCAAGCTCTAAAAATTTCTTTCCAGTTGCCCTTTCCTAAAAGACATACAGAGTCCAAAGAAACATCCTCCTTAAAAAACATCTTCCAAAAGAGCTTTATCTGTAAGTTTTGTTTCTCTATCAACCCCACTTAGGAAAGCCTGGCTCATGCTTTCTTGCCGAGCATTTGCTGTATGTATTTCTTTTCCTTCTCTCTTGGCTGTGAGCACGTTCTGCCAAACACAGAAGGGCTTTGTGAGGCAGGGAACAGCTCTAACTCCTACTGCTAGTAACATTTGCACTGCCTCCCTCTCAGAGTTGGACATTAACCACCTCTGGTGTTTCACTCTCTCCACAAAAATAGTTGTTTCTAGTAAGCTCTCGCAACCCCCCCTTTTCATCCTGTCTTTTTCACAATAGGGAGCTAATAAGCCTTTTCATTTAGCAGAGTGTGGAGAGGATCCTGTAATCAGTCGCTTTCCAAAGGGAGCTGAAAATTTCAGCAGAGTTTTCAAAAGAGAAGGGTAAGTAACAGGAACTGATATTACCTCCCCCTGCCCTCCCACTTCCCCCTTGGTAATTCCCAAGATGGACTCACTTGAAAGTTGATGATTTCCCCGTCTGATGCCATCCTTTTGCCCTTAGGTCTCTTCCTCAGCTCTCTGCAGACTGCACAGTAGCTTGGGACTCTGCAGTCTCAGGGACTCTCCAATGTTTCCTCTGGGTAGGAGAGCACAGCTGCTGAAACAGACCTGCTATTCATCTCCCTGATGTGAGACGCCCGTCTTGGCACAAGTGCACAGGGGAGAAGGGGGTGGCATACAAATTCTTTGTCTTCAAGATGCTGAATGGTCCATGGAATAAACAGCCCTCTTAGATTTGCTATGACAGTTTTGTTCACTACGTATCTCCACTAACTCCCTGAGTCCAGCTGGGCCCTGTGAGATCACTCAAGCTGGAATTCTGTGATGCAGCCATTGTACCATAGGGGTCATGGCACAGACTGTACAAAGTATTTAACAACAATCCTGAACCCTTTCTGTAGCCACAGAGCCCCTGTGTTCATATCAGGGCTATCATATGAAGATGGTTTGCAAATTAGTGGCTGAGATGGTTATGGCCAGAAAGTCATGTTCCTTTGCAGCTGCACAACATTACAGAAAAGCCCTGGAGAAACTGAAATGGAATTTCCATTCTAAACCCATTCTTAGGTACGTCTCCCTTTCTTGACCAAGAAAAAGGCATTTGGGTCTGGGATTTTTATTCCTGATCTCTCAAATGAGGTTCTCTTTCGATTTGTAGGTGAGAAGTAACCAAAAATTGTTTTAGAAAGGAAATGTACACAGCCAAAATCAAGTGAAGAAGCATGAATTTAATACAAGTGGGATTCTTTACCAGAGAAAGTCAGCATAGCCCCATTGACTTCAATGGATCTATGAAACTTTACATCAACCAAAGATCAAGTGATGTTTTGTGCTTTGAAGGACAACTTCACAGATCAACAACAATGGCACAGAAAGTTTTATTTTTACTAAGAAAGAAGTCTCTCTTGTTAAGAAGCATGCTATGTAATATGTATGTAGTTAACCAGTGTTAATCACAGTTTCTATCTTCACGTCTGTGAAAGGTACTAAAGTCTCTCTCAGTGGAAACTGCTATTGTATTGATACTTCCCAGTAGAAGGCCCAGTTTGACCATGATCATGATAATATTTAGCAGTTCTGTGGCACCATTTCAAAGAACTGATGATGTTATCCCCATAAAATCCTTGTGCAGTAGATAGTATTATTCCCATTGTAGAGATAGATTAACTGAAACACAGAGGTACGTTAGTGATAAGGTCACATGGGAAGTCTGTGGGAAAGTCAGGACTAGAACCCAGATCATTTGGCTTTCAGTTTTGTGGCTTATCTCGATGAAAAACTTTCCATCCCATTTAGGATCCAGGCAATGTAGATTCTGTGTGAAAGCACAAAAAAAAAGTAAGCAGCTGTCAAAACTATTGTAATGTATGCCTGAAAGAATTAAACAATTTTTTTTGTTCTCTTAAAAGGTGAGCACTGTTTACATAAAAAACTTACCTGACAACCATTTGAAAGTCACCTGTCCATCACATGCATTCATGCACAATTCATGAGTCTCATTAGCCTGGAAGTCACTGACTATTACTTGAAACCTTTGAGGCACGGCTTGGGGGTCAGAATGCACATTTCTGAGTCCTAATCTACACTGGACTGTTATGACAGTAGCTTCCCATTTGATTTTTTTTTAATTCAATGTAAGAAGTTTTGAAAACAAAATGTAGTGTTTTGCCTTGCTTGTTATTTGGATGTAGGGATTGAAATCTCTTTCTACATTGCCTACCAGTTTCCATACAAGCATACTATTGCAAAAGGCACTAATACAAAGAATTACCTGTTCTAAATTACTTTCCTTAAAGACCTCTATAATAAGATGCCACAGTTCAGATTATATATAGGTGCAATATGTTAATGAATAATTTATGTGCCTCGAGTGTCCACCACATCTTTCAAACCTACTCCCAAGAGCTGAGGAGCGTACGTGCTATGTTTGTTCTTTGTGAGCAGGGTCTTTGGTGAACCCAGGATTCTTGACAAAGTTTTGCTGTCCTTAGGTATCTTACCTGTATCATGGTAGGCCCCAAAATAAACTGTGGTAAGAAGTGAATGAAGTATCTAACTATTAATACCAAGGTAATTTCAGACAAGACCACAAGATAAATAACAATGTGCCTTTTAAACAAGATTCTCTCAAGCACTTCTCTAAATGTAATGCAGAAATTTTTGCCGTGATCTCCAGGGAGATGTCCCAGAGAATACTATTCTTATGCTGTATTTTCAGAATATCCAGAGAAATTAAGCAAGACCTACAGTAACTCCTGTGTCTTTCTAGACAAACAAAACTAAATTAAACCCAGTTCCCAGTTTCCTCTCCCAAGATAGCATGAAAAAGTCTTTTTACAGTAGTATATTGGTAGTAACGACTCTGCAAGTTCTCAGAGGAAATCTGGAGTCAAATGTATTAAAATGACATAACTTCAACAAAATCACTCTTTGAGATTATTTTTGCATCCCTTATTAATAGCAAAGCTATGATCTTACACATGCAGGAAAGTAGGAAAATGGGTATGTTTTCATTTAACTCTCAGAACTGTCAGGGGAAAATGAAAGTCTCAGAGGAGTAGCCATGTTAGACTGTAACTAAAAAAACTTAAAAAACAACGAATGGCTCTGTAGCACCTTAGAGGCTAACCAAAAAATGTAGATAATATCATGAGCTTTCATAGGCACAGCCCACTTCTTCAGATGACTGGAGCTAGGGGTCAGGGAACACAAATATATAGAAGAAAAAGAAGGGAGAGAGGGAGGGAAAACAGAAAAAGAAAAAAGCCCTGTCAATTAGGGTACGTCTAGACTACATGGCTCTGTCAACGGAGCCATGTAGATGAGTTTACTAGACATAGGAAAATGAAGTGGCAATTTAAATAATCGCTGCTTCATTTACATAAAAATGGCTACCGCGCTGTGCCAATCAGCTGTTTGGCAGCACAGCGGGGCAGTCTGGAAGCGCCGCGGTCAACAAGGGAAGCCTTTGTTGACTGTTCCAGAATGCCTCATGAAATAAGGTTTACCGAAGCAGTTGAGAAAGGCTTCCCTTGTTGACCGCGGCGCTTCCAGACTGCCCCGCTGTGCTGCCAAACAGCTGATTGGCACAGCGCGGTAGCCATTTTTATGTAAATGAAGCAGCGATTATTTAAATTGCCACTTCATTTTCCTATGTCTAGTAAACTCATCTACATGGCTCTGTTGACAGAGCCATGTAGTCTAGACATACCCTTAAAGTGCTAATAGAGTAGGCTGTCGGTGCCTGATACTTAGCTTTTGATGGCATTTGGGTGTTGAATATAATGGCCAATCCAATACATGTCTTTATTCAGTCCTTGGACGAATATGTCAAATTTGCATATGAAGGCCAGTTCCACCTTCTAGCTGGTTCCTGAAATTACTTTATAAGAGGATAGCCACCTTTAGATCTATTAGTGAGTGCCCAGGGAAGTTAAAATGTTCCCCAACAGGTTTCTGTGTGTTACCATTTTGAATATCTGATTTGTGTCCATTAATCCTTTGTCATAGAGCCTGTCCAGTTTGGCCAGTATACATGGCAGAAGGGCATTGGTGGCATTTGATGGCATATGTTACATTAATGGATGTGCAGTTATATGAGCCTCTGATGTAGTGGCTTATGTGGTTAAGTCTTTTGATCATGTTGCTTCTGTAGATGTGTGGACAGAGTTGGCACCGTAGTTTATTGCAGGGGTAGGTTCCCGGGTGAGTATGTTTGCTGGAAAGTATTTGTTTCAAGGTAGGGGGTTGTCTGTAGATGAGGAATGGCCTGTCTCCCAAGGCCTGTGAGAGTGAGGGATTTTGTTTTCCAGGATAGGTTGTAGATTGTTAATGATGTGCTGATGGGGTTTAAATGAAACTCTTCAAAGGAAACTCCCAATGTGACAGAAAAGGTATTCTGATCACTACTTCCAATTGCAAAGAGGAGTGACTATTGCTTTTTAAAATGCCTTTAATAATTACTAGAGAGAAAGGGGGTGAGGTAATATTTTTATTGGATATAAGAACGGCGATACTGGCTCAGACCAAAGGTCTATCTAGCCCAGTATCCTGTCTGCCGACAGTGGCCAATACCAGATGCCCCAGAGGGAGTGATCACAATAGGTAATCCTCACGTGATCCCTCCCCTGTCACCCACTTCTAGAGAAACAGAGGCTAGGGATGCCATTCCTACCCATCCTGGCTAATAGCCATTGATGGACCTAATCTACATGAATCTATCTAGCTCTTTTTTTAACCCTGTTAAAGTTCTAGCCTTCATCGCATCCTCTGGCAAGGAGTTCCACAGGTTGACTGTGCACTGAGTGAAGAAAAAATTCCTTTTGTTTGTTTTAAACCTGCTGCCTATTAATTTCATTTGATGACCCCTATTTCTTATGTTGTGGGAATTAGCAAATAACTTTTTCTTATTCATGACTGGTATGGAAAAAGTGATTTTATAGACCCCTATCATATGCCCCCTTTGTCTCCTCCTCTTTTCTAAGCTGAAAAGTCCAAGTCTTTTTAATCTCTCTTCATATGGGACCTGTTCCAAACCCCTAATCATTTTTGTTGCCCTTTTCTGAACCTTTTCCAATGCCATCTTCTGTTGGTGAAAAAGACAATCTTTCAAGCACCACGGCTTTTCTTCACAAGCAGCATGGCTGCAACACTGCAAATATTTAATAATTAACTATCATAAGAGAATCTGACATAGTCTTGGTGTGAAGGCATGCAGTAGAGTACATAAAACGCTGCATAGAGTTTGAATGCCCTGGAATGACAAGAGATTTCCAGCCTTGATTGTTGGAGTAACTCATCGTGAATGAATAGAGTAAAAGAGAGTACTTGTTATACGCACTTGAGCAGACGAAAGGGAGTTCAATGGGAAAAGAGTCTATAAAGAGAAGAGAGCAGTGTGAGGTAACTGTGGAGCTGTTTGCAGTTAGCAGCCAGATTGTACTGAGCTCTTGTACTATGGAGTGAGAGGACACAGGACCCTCTTCCCTTTGTTTCCTGACTCTCACAGGCCCCAGGTACAAAGGGAGTTCTTGCACAGAGTTTGCTGGTTGCAGAGGAGAGTCCATATGGTCTTAAGAGAGATACAAAAACAGACTCTCTGGGAATTCTAAGATGCATCACAATGCCCCAGAGGGATCTTTGGTCCTGTGCAATGGTGAAGAGTGTTTCTAGGGTGCCTCTGTATTAGAAAAGAGAAGGGGATGAAGACGCTGGAGAGAAAAAGAACCTGTAGACATGAATGATAAGACTAACGATATAACATATCCATGGGAATGTTTCAGTTGTTCCCATACCTGGGATTTTATTTGTTATGTGTTTTACTAGGGGGCTGTGCCCCCTGCTCACTGCGCTTGCCAACCCTCCTATCATGGGCGGTAGGCAACCCTGGCTCTCCCATCCCCTCCCGCCCATCGGGGGACGGGCTGTGGCTATGCCAGGTTTGGCCCCATCTCCATCCCCCCCCAACCAGCCCAGGAACCTTCTCCCTCCCCTGCCAGGCCAGCCCAAGGCCCTCTTCTCCCCCTGCCACACCAGCCCAGGCCCCTTCTCTCTCCTTCCCCCCACCAGCTTGGGCCTCTTCTTCTTCCACCCGCTATTCCAGCCCAAGTCCCTTCTATATCCTCCCCTATCCTGCCACGCCAGCCCAAGCCCCTTCTCCCTCCCCCCACTCCAGCCTGGGCTCTTTCTCCTCCCCAATCTAATACCCCCGTGCCCAGCTGCAGCGTGCGCCAGGCCCAGCTCTAACTTCAGCAGCTGGGGAAGC